GGCACAGCTTCTGTCCGAGAACTCGGAGACACAGGGAGCGGAGGGTGAGCCGCTGAGCGACCGCGCGTCACCCTCAGTGCCGCGGTTCACAGTTGTGCGCTGTGTGCTCGGGCTGGGAGTATCCAGTTGAGAACCTGGCGTGGGATCGCGTGCTAAGAGGGAGGAAAGCAGCGAAGTAGAGGAGGTGTGGGTAAAGTGCCTCGTGCAGCCCGCTCTGCTTCCACGGAAAGTGCTCCATCTTCGACGTTAATGATCGTGCCTGATGTCATGGGTGTCTCTCAGGGCGCATGCGTGTGACAGGTTGTGGCATCTGCTTGCTTCATGTCTGCTGCCTGAAGAGACTCTGAATGTTTCAGAAACCTAAGGAGTGCCCTACACCAAGAGAAATATTGTATAGATTCTAAGTTGTTTGGGCCAAATTACTTAAAATATTTGTCATAACTCTATTACCATTTGAAAAGACAGCATTTAAACTTCATTCTTACAGTAACCGTAATTAGTTAGGGGCTTCTGTCCCTGCTGGGCAGCCTGCGTTTTCTGACTTGAGGTCGGATGGGCCATCACCATCCTCTCTTCCTCCTGTTCTTACTTGGGCAACTCCTGAAAGCCCAGCATCCCAAGGACTTGCTGCTGAACCAGTGTACGTTGGAACTGAATTCTCTCGAGCGCTGGCTCCGTACCATCCGATGAGGGAGGGTCTGTGCAAATACCTGCCCGAGTCCCGGCTGCCCGCCACGCCGAGGTGCCGCCACACGCAGTTTGGAAACCATGTTCCTACTTGGTCTAATTCACAGACGGGGGACGGCCATTTATTTGCTCGGGTCACGCTGGCCTGCGGGTTTGTCGTTTGACACCCTACCCAGACCCGTGTGGGTATGTCATGGAGGAGAGGGGTCCAACGCAGCACTCATCGCTGATCTTGGGCAGTGTGAAGGCATTTTCAGGGTAGTGAGAGTAACAGAAGTTAGACAGTCTGTGTGTCCCCGCAAGAGCAGCGTGTTTCCAGGAAGCGCAGCGGCACCACGCACCATTTCCTGTTTTTCTCTGCAGTGCCCGGCTGGGATTCCCCTGATTTGCCGGTGCTTTAATCTTGGGTCTGTCTTGAATTCTTCATGCAGCAACCGCTCCTGTCCCCCAAAGTGTCATTCTGTTAATGTGTTTACTAACTCTGGGTCTGGGGTGCACTAGGAGTGTTGGACACTTCCTCCCGTGAGGGGCCACCTAGCACCCACCTTGAAAGTCTTTCCCCACCCCCTTCTGGCTCTTTCCTGTCAATCTGGGGATGAGCACGTCCCCCCTCCTTAAAACATTGTCCTCACTCCAGCCACTGCCCTGACTCCCCCAGATGAATGCCCCTCCATATCTCTATCCTCACACGTGCTCCACCTCCCGTGCCTCCTCAGCTCCCACCAGCGTGTTGCCCTGCCACTTCCTGGCCGGGGGCTCCCCAGGGGCTGCTGAGCCCAGGGACAGGCCTGTCCGTCGTTGCTTCTCCACTCTTGCCTGCTCTCTTCTTCCTGCCAACGCTGAGCCTTTCCGTAGGAGACACAAACTCCACCCACCCTTGTAAATGTGGAAATCCTTTCCAGTTGAGCCCTCATTCAGAACCTGCATCCCCTCACCTCATGGCAATCTCTTGTGTGCGTCGTTAACAATCCAGGGTCTTAACACAGTCACACGGAACCTGGTGCTCTTCTCGTTGCATCTGCTGACTTGAGTCTCAAAGTCTGTGTGTACTCTTGTTGCCGTGTCCGTTCTCAGATCTGGCCAGTGGACAGGCGCTGATTTTACCCACTGAACAGCTTCTTGGTGTGTGTCTGCTGTGCTAGCTGAGTCCAGTCTCTCCCCACCATCCTCCCTGCAGCAGTACTAACTCTGACGTCACCCTCTGCCTGCCCCTAGGGTGCTGTGGGGCCTTTTAGAGCCATCTGCTCCTGCATCGGAAGCCTCGCAGTGTCATTCCCTCTGTGTGTGGAGTGGCGGCCCTGTGTGGTTCGGCTCTTGATTTTTGTTCCCATCTCCAAAAGCAGGTGCCTGCTCCTCCCGGTGCTCTGGCACCACCACCCTACTTCCCTCCGGGACTGCTGCACTCCTGCCAGCTGCAGAGGAGGAAGGCAAAGGTTCTGCCTGCAAATCTCGATGTACGAGGGACGTCTGACTCCAGTTGAGCAAAGGGCACGTTGGCAATGAATCCCCATTTTCAGATTTACCTAGGAGCACAGCAGAGAGAGAAGCTCCAGTCTCCTTGAATTTCACTTTCCAGTATGAACATAGCCGTTTCGAAACCAGTTTTGTTAAGTGCTTTTGATACTGTTTGCTGTCTTATTAGCGTATGTTACTTTCCTTTCAGAAGCGTATTCACTCATTCTTCAGGGAAATGTTGTTGAGTGATGGCTAAGAGCACACTGTGGCAGCTTCCTCTGAAACATGTCCTCGGTAACCCAGCCGACAGAGCATTAGTGTGGGTGTACAGGCCAAGCCAGGCCTCCTGCTAAGCTCCCTCTCCTCCTCCCCCCCGTCCCTTCTGCAGGAAATGGTGCCAGCTCAGGACGCGCAGTGGTCTGAGGGAGACCTCAGTCTCGGGCTGAGCCCCTGTTTCTGCTGGGTGGCCTGGGAGAGCCGCAGCAGGAGTGGCTGGCTGTCCCAGCACCATTTACACCTGCGTGGGGCAGGGAGCTTGGAAGTTCACGGGCCGCCCTTCAGACAGGGAACCCCAATAACGTGGTGCCCAGAGTAGTGCTTCCTTCTGCTAGTTCACTCCCCAAGTGCATGCAATGGCAGGGCTGAATTTGGGAGCTGGGAACCCAATCCAAGTTTCCATGGCGAGAACCTGGTGCTTGGGCTGTGGCTACCTGGTCTGCATTAGCAGGAACCAGGAACCTGGGGTCCCAGCCAGGCGCCCGGCAGGTAGGTGAACACACCGAAGGTCCAATTGGATGACTAGGCGAACAGCTGCTGGAGGCAAACACAATGAAAGTGTAACAGTGCGGTCAGGAAGAAGGGCACCAGTGTCGTCTTTTCCTTTCTTAGTCCTAAAAAGGAAAAGTTAGCATTTTTTCCTTAATGCTTCTTCATTTTAAATGTATCTGAAAGACAAAGCAGCAGGATGAGGGAGAAGAGACTGATCTGGCACGGGGGCACTGTGAAGCTGGGGTGCAGCAAGTCCACCTGGGACTTCTCCAGATGGCAGGGTCTTCAGACTTTGGGGCTGTCACCTGCTTTTCTCTGACATATTAGCAGAAAGCTAGATCTGAAGGAGAGGTGCGGAGTGCAGCCGTACCCAGCGTGCCACAGTGCCTGCACACACAGCCCAACGGGAAATCACATCCTGTGTCCCGTGCCGAGCTAGAGCGTGATGAATGCGGTGAGCAGAGGCAGAATCTGGGGATGGCGGAGGCCGGCGGTTGCCTGTGCGCACACAGAGCGGGTGGTGGCTGTGGGGCAGGAAGCAGCCAGCCTAGAATGAGGCGCTTCTGCGAGCACTTCAAGCAACATACAAGGCACAGGGCAGGCAACCAGTGCCTGTGCTGAGGAACATAGCGGAACAAGAGCATCTTGTGCCCATCCTAAAGAAAGGGGCTTGGAGTACAGAACCTGAAGTAATAAGAGTATTTTGTTCCTTGGTATCGCTATAGTTCATACATTTAAAAAATGTATTAATTTGAAAGAGTTACAGAAGAGAGCGAAATGTCCTCCATGTACTGGTTCACTCTCCCGATGGTTTCAACATTCAGACTGAAGCCAGGAGCCTGGAGCTTCCTCTGGGTCTCCCACACGGGTGCAGCCAGCCCAAGAACTTGTGTCATCTTGATGCTTTCCCAAGTGCACTAGCAGGGAGCTGGATCAGAAGTGGAGCAGGCCATTTCAGGTTTAAATCTATTGGAATAAAAGCTACAAAGCAGCATGAGCACATGTCCGGACTTTTTAAATGCTCATATTTGCACAACATCTGCTTTTGTGGCCTTATGGAAAATATTTTAATCGTAAGGAGCTGTGAAGTTGGAACTACCTTGATAGAATTTTAGGATTTATCTGGACCATTCCTGTGCAGCAGGTACATACAATATAATGTTCCAAGGTGCTTTACCCAATAAATGTATAATTTGGTTTTGAGGCAAGTTGCAATTTCAGGAGCAGTGTACTGCTGAGGGCTTGTGGATGGTTTAGGATGGTTATTAACCAGGCTAAGGAGACAGCAAGGTAAAGGGATAACTCCAGTGAGGGGGACCAGAGGGTATGCTGGCAGCTAAAATGCCCTGGAAGCCAGCCTCTTGTCCAGCCTCTTGTAAAAAGGTCATCCCCCCAAAAATGAATTTTTTAAGAGATTTATTTTAGAAAGGCAGATGTAGAGGAGGAGAGACAAAGATCTTCCATCCACTGGTTCACTCCCCAAGTGGCTGCAATGGCCGGAGCTGAGTTGATCCAAAGCCAAGAGCTTCTTCCAGGTCTCCCATGTGGGTGCAGAGTCCCACGGCTTTGGGCCGTCCTCGACTGCTTTCCCAGGCCACAAACCAGTGCCCATATGGGATCCTGGCACGTGCAAGGCTAGGGCTTCAGCATCGGGCCCATCCAAACATTTTTAAGAATCTAACCCCAGTGATAACTGAGTTCGGACTGAGTTCTCGTTGCACTCAGAGCGGAAAAGTGGCTGTGAATGGACTAGGATCAAGTTGCATTTCCTGCACAGGACAGTGCAAGAAATGTGGCGGCTGTGAGCAGAGTGATGTCTCAAACCAACGCCGTGCTAGCAACAGTACAAACAAAAAACTACGCAGTGCTTACACAGCTAAGTGGGTGGCCAAACGTAGACCTGCATATTTATAAAGTTAAAGCCTGTTAGTTTTGGTTCATGCATTTCTCCTGGGGATTTGATCATGAGAGGTCATTGTGGTTGTCTGTTGCAAGAGCGAAACTGAATCATTTGTTCATAATACGTAACATCAGAGTAACTTCTTTTCCAGTAATACCATTTTGTCAACACATCTTTCCTCATATTTTAGAAACGGCGACGACGGATTGACCGAAGTATGATTGGAGAGCCAACCAACTTTGTGCACACGGCTCACGTGGGGTCAGGAGACCTCTTCAGCGGGATGAACTCTGTGAGTACGCTGGTGGTCGCACACATGCCCAGGGCCTCGGGCACAGCGTGGACCCTCACACAATAGGCCGGGAATTCCTGCACACTAAATAGAAATGCATCTTGTGAGCATGGAAGACAGGCAAGGATGAAAAATTAATCATCCCTCAATTGCCAAGTTATGCATTTATGTGTAGTTTTGGTACTGAACTTTTCATAGCTGTCCTTCTCTTGAATAAACTTGAAATGAGTGCAGAATGGAGGTTGATCTTCCATTCTCATGCTTTCTGCAAAGGGACTGAAGGCCGAACCTTTGAATAGCAAGTTCAAGACGTATTAATTGTATCCTCAGGAACAGAACTGTAAGATTAACGCAGCAGTGATGCTTCCTGGCTTATTGGATAGCAGGAATACAAAACACAGCAAGACAGCAGAGACTGTTAGAGGTAGATGAGTACCCTGGATACAGCAGGACTGTTTGTTACTTGGTAAACAAAGTGACATTTGTGGCTTCCTGGGAAGGAAAGAGCTTGTTTTAAACCTGTAGGAAGGACTTTGTTTCATGGATCATCTCAGAATTAAAAAGACCAGATAGGACGCTATTGTTTTCATTACTATGGTTATTATAATACAAGGGGTCTTCAGGAAGTCCTTAAAAGCTATATATTACAAAAATATGTACTGACTTTAGAATCATTTTACACCTAAAAAACTTTTTCTCTTAAGGTGCCATTTTTCATGAGCTTCTGAAGTTCTCATGGATATATAATCCATAGTTTCTTCTTGTCTGCTTGGTGTGAACTAGTGTAGGACTTCGGGGCCGTGTACAAGCCAGATGGGGCTTGTACCTCATGGTTCCAGGAAGCCTCTCCGGGACCTGGATCCCGGCAAGCTGCAGCGCTTGCTACGGGCGCTGTCCCGCGGCCTTTCCTAGAGTAGCACTTGGCATCTTGCTGCGGCGAGGCAGTGGGGGAGGGAACTGTGGGGTGCTGAGCTCCCGAGCCCCTCCCCCGCGGGCACAGCTGCAGAAGCCCGGCCCTGGGAATTGTGTTAAACTCTCTGCAAAGAAATCATGTCTGACTTCGTGGCTCTCAAGAGCTGAGCAGCTGGGATGACAGATGTGCCTGGATGGTGTGGTTAAACAGGCCAGGGACTGACACACTGTTCTCCCAGCATTGCCTTGTCTGCTGCAGTCAGATTCCCTCGGGATCATGGAGCCCTCTTAAAATACCGGGTATCCACAGGCACTGGGATGTAATGAGTCCCAGTGCTGAAACACTGGAAATTGAAGAATTCTGTTTTACAGGAAAAATTTACTTTCTATAGTTTGCATGGCATTATGAATGCATGACATAAAACCAAAGATGTTTTTAAAAGATTTATTTATTTTTATTGGAAAGGCAGAGACACAGAGAGGAGGAGAGACAGAGAGGAAGATCTTCCACCCGATGGTTCACTCCCCAAGTGACCGCAACAGCTGGAGCCGAGCCAGTCCGAAGCCAGGAACCAGGAGCTCTTCCAGGTCTCCGGTGCTGGTGCAGGGTCCCAAGGCCTTGGGTTGTCCCCGACTGCTTTCCCAGGCCATAAGCAGGGAGCTGGATGGGAAGCAGGGCCACCGGATTAGAATAGGCACTCACATGGGATCCGAGTGTGTGCAAGACGAGGACTTTAACCACTATGCTACTGTGCCAGGCCCAGATCCTGTTTTTAAAAAACTGTGCATAAGGTATTCACAACGCCAAATGATGAAGTTGGTATCAGGGTGAAGTAGAGTTTGTACCACACAGTATGACCTAGCAGGCCACAGCAGCCTCCACCAGCACTGACAGTAAGTGTGCTCTAAAAAAAAAAAATAAAAGAAAAAACCTAAATTCTACAGGGCTTTTTATTTTAAAGATTTTGTTTATTTTTCCTGGAAAGTCAGACATACAGAGAGGAAGACCTTATGTCCACTGATTCACTCCCCAGGCAGCCACAATGGCTAGAGCCAAGCCAAAGCAGGGAACCTCTTCTGGGTCTCCCCCATGGGTGCAGGGTCCCAAGGCTTTGGGCCGTCCTCGAGTGCTTTCCCAGGGCACAAGCAGGGAGTTGGACGGGAACCAGCTGGGATTAGAACCAGCGCCCATATGGTATCCCGGCATATGCAAGGTGAGGACTTGAGCTGCTAGGCCACTGCACTGGGCCATTTTCTTACAGTAATCAAGTAACTACAATAAGGATGTAAGCGTAAGTGCTACAGTGACACGTTCTACGACACAGCTGGAATGACATTCCACATTGTTAAACCATGCTTTTTGTTTTCCTTAGTATTTTAGACCTGCCTTATTTGAAAACAAATACAAGCAAATCCTTGTATTTTGTTTGAAGAAAGAAAAAAAAAGTTAGGATCCCCATGCATAGGCGGCTCACGCATCATGCTTTCTGGGGCCTGGGAGCTGGCATGGCACTGTGCCACAGGGACCAGGGTACAGCGCAAGCACTTTGGAGATTGCAGGTGGCATTCTGTGTGCTCGTCTGTCACCCACCTTTGGTCAGAGCCTGGCCCTGAGGTGCCATAGCCGTCTTGTAGGCCAGACAGTTCACTGAGTTCCAATAGTGATAAATTAACCTGGACCATGAGCTCTTGGGGATGTGGACTTTTTTTGCTTTATGGGGCTATTTAAGGTTAAGGTTGCTCTGATTTGTATTGCTTCTGATTTATTCCAGGTCATTGCGCTATAGTCTATGAGGCGTCTTTAGGGTATTGAAATTGAGCAACAAATTGGAATTAAGTGAGAAATACTGAGAGCACGAGCCGACACAGTCACTCGGGCCGCCTCCGACCTTGTGCCTCACCACGCTGCCTTTGTTTCCGCTTCCAGGTTAGCTCCATTCAGAACCAGATGCAGTCCAAGGGTGGCTACGGCGGGGGCATGGCCGCCAACGTGCAGCTGGTGGACACGAAGGCGGGCTAGCGCGGCTTCCTCCCCGTGAGTACCCGGCGTCGGCCAGGCTGCAGCGACGGCCTCACTGAGCCTGCGGATGGAACAGAGTGTTTTGTTAAGTTGTGAATTTACTGGGGGAGGGGAAAAACACTTCAGTGAAAACAGCAGACCTGTCGCAGCTGCAGTTGAAACCCGGGAGGCGTCCGGCCGCCTTTCACATGCCTTTTACACGGTGGAGTTATCATTCTAAAAAGTAGACTTTTTAAAGTTTCTAATGAGTCCTGAAAAGACTAAAGTAACCTGAATTTTTCTTTTGGTTTGTAGGTCCTTGGGAATTTCTATATTTTCTGTCAAGTCTTCTATAATTTTGGTCTTGTGATTGCATTTCTTTTATCTCGAATTACAAAAAGCAGTGTGACAGCACCTCGTTCCCCTCCTTGTGATTGTCCCGGTGAGATGTTACTGTTTGCTCCGAGAAGAATCCTCGGCCGACCCCGCGCTCCCCGCGGCCGCCATGCATGCCCTCGGACTCCAGACCGCCTTCTCTGGCTTGTAGCCGGATTTCCTGTTTAATCAGTATGGATCTGACCGTAGCATGACTTCCTGTGAATGCTAACACCACTTTGCAGTTTTCCTCCACTTTAAGCATTTTTCTTTCTCTGCCTTATGATTTTGTCATTAAGAGGGACACGCTGTTTGTTAACTTGTTGCCACAGGTGTCTGTTGGGGAGCCCTAAGACCCACAGGCCTGTCCCCTGTTGGAAGTTGGAGTGGAAGAGGTGTAGACGCTTAGAGCTGCTTTGAGATCCCTTTGCTGCTGCAGAGTCAAGGAAGGTTAGTGGGGTACACCTGCCTGCAGTGCTGCAGACCAAGGCACCTGAGAGCTTAGGAAAGCACAGCTTGCGGCCTGCTTGGTTGGAACTGCAGTGAGAGAGGCTGGCATGCTGCTGTCAGCGTCCTGTGTGTGGAGCGGAGGGGAGGCTGCCCAGGGCCGTGTAGCTGCTGCCCGGTGCGTTGGCTCGTGCTGCACGCACACGCTGCCAGGAGCAGCAGACTGACCTGAGCACTCAGTAAAACAGCCTTGGCTCAGCTTCTAAAACATACCTACCCACCCCAGATTTTATGTAAATGTTTTGTCTTCCTCCTAAGAGTCAGTGGGTAAGCCCCGTGCCCCAATTGTAGCCTATCCAAGCTCATTTGGAGGATTAACAGCGCACGCAGGGACAGGACCTTAGCTGGGAACTCCGAGTTGGGCAGTGCCGTTCTGCCTCCACCTACCTTCGTCCCAGGTGGCCCGAGGCAAGCAGCTGACCGAACGGTGAAAGCGTTTCTCCCCTGCGGTGCAGCAGGGGCACCCTTGGCGTGTCGAGCCTTCCTCCTTATGTTCCGAGCAGTCTGTCAAGGAAGGAGGTTTGTTCAGAAGCAAGCATTTTACAGTTTACTCCCCTCTTGCCCACGTGTGCTGGGCCCTCTGCCAGCCACTCGGCCTTGGCAGCACATAGCTTTCACTTCAGCTGTGACTGGTTTTGCTGTCTGCCCCAGCTCTGCTGCTCAGCCCCGCTGGAGTGTCTCGTGGTAAAACACGGCCGGTGTGGCACAGCTGCCAACCCTGACAGGCCGCGTGCACTGGTCACGGCTGGTAGAATCAAGAGGCAGGACTCACGTTTTCAGGGAGGCAGCCTCGCCCCACTCGTTCCAGGAGGTGGCTGTTCCCTGTGGCTTCGCAGCTCATTTCCAAATTGATGCCAATTAACATTTTACCTCCTGGAAGTTCAGTTGCCATTAATGCTGTGCTAACAAAGCAAGCTGGATGTAGACCCCTGGCTCAGCAGGGGTTCTGTTGGGGTGCTGCCCCGGGGCGGGGCGTGACGTGGGGCGGTCACTGGGGACAGCGCAGGTAGCGGGCCTGGAAAGAGACTGTGAGCGCGTTAGCTTTCACTTGTGTTATTAAATTATAGCAGTTTCATTCTAGAGAACAAGTTTGCCTTGATTTTGTTTAAAATGACTTCTGCTTAGCGCCCAGAAGATAAAATTGACATATTTTTATAATATAAGCATACTTTTTTTGTACATTGTGTTCATTCTTAAAGTGAGTTCAGTGTTGGCTTATAGATATTAAAAAGTATTGATTTTGACTCAATAAATGTTTTCTTCCAATCCTGGTTTGATTTTCCTTTTTACCTTTTTAAAAGGAGTTATTTATCAGAATTTACACATAGTACCTTTTTTAGCATGCTTGTATTTTTTGGGAGGGTTTCCGAAAGCTCTGCTCTTTACCAAGGACTCCCAGCCGGGTCGTACAACCCCTCCGAGGGCATGCCTGGCAAAGTTTGGGTTCTGTTTTCCTCTCTAAAGGAGCACCTCAACACTGGGCCTACAATCGCCTCCCCCAGGCCCCCCCAGTGCCTGGTCTGAGGGTGCAGTGTGCACAGATCGTCAGCAGATGGCGCAGTTACCACCGACGGTCAGCACCTGGTGTTTCCCATTGAGAAGTGTTGGAGTGGAGGTAAAAGATCATCCTACTTTAGTCAAAGCCAGCCGACTCAGAGTTCCAAATGGGTAAGGCTTTAAATCTCTCGTCCACTCTTATGTCCTATTACTATTTCACAAGTGTCTGTAGCGTTGGCTTACCTTGGAGTTGTGCTGCAGGGTTCGGGGTGGGAGACCGCGGCCCCCGCGGCTGCACTGCGTTCTCCTGGCAGCTGCTTGGCCATCAGCTCCCCTGCAAAGCACAAACACGCACAGGGTCCATTCTCCATTTTCTCTCCACCCTGACACTCGGACTCCCTCCTTCCGAGTCACGGGGAGGGGACGGGCCCAGCGCGGGGAGGAAGCCTCATGGGCGCCACCAGGAGGGGGTCCTTGGCGTTTGGAGAGTGAAGCAGCAGATGGAGACTCTGCCATTCAAATAAAGTTAAAAACATTGTAAAATTTATTTTTCATACACTTCCTCATTTCCTAATTTTTACTGGGCCTTTCACTTGAAAACTCGGGTATTCAGCTCTGGGAAATCACATTATTTCTGACTCCCAAATCCACTGCGATCTGCCAGGTTACTCGGCAGCGATGTGGAACGCACCAAGCACTTCTCCCGTGAACCTGGGAGAACTTAATCTGAACTAGAAACATACGTGCAGCCATGTTTACCACTGAGATGGCGAAGTGGTGACGGATGGTACTTCCATCAAGGAGTCAGGGACTTTGTACCACCTCTTGCGGGAGACCTAGCAAGACAGCAGGGTCGGTCTGCAGGGTTGCGCTCTGCACTCCAGCCACCCTGCCTGGCTTCCAGGTTCCCTCTAACCACCTCTGTCCTTCCTGCCTGCCACCCGCTCCTTAGGCTTGTTCTCGATTCTGCCTGCAAAGCCTTCCCTTCTTCCCTTTTCTGGGCTAACCCTTACTTACCTCTCATGTCAGTGCCAAAGTGACTTCGCCCCTCACACATGTGTACAACAAAAGAGCAGACCTCTGGACCTGGCACGGTGGCCTAATGGCTAAAGTCCTTGCCTTGAACGTGCCAGGATCCCATATGGGTGCCAGTTCTAATCCCAGTGGCCCTGCTTCCCCTCCAGCTCCCTGCCTGTGGCCTGGAAAAGCAGTCGAGGACGGCCCAAAGCTTTGGGACCCTGCACCCGTGTGGGAGACCTGGAAGAAGTTCCTGGATCCTGGCTTCAGATCGGCATAGCATTCACCTTTGCGGTCACTTGGGGAGTGAACCATGGGACGGAAGATCCTCTTCCCTCTCTCTCCACCTCTCCGTATATCTGACTTTGCAATAAAAATAAATCTTAAAAAAAAAGTAGTTCTCTAGACCACTGCTTACCATGCCGGTGGTTCCATAGCCCAGTGCTTAAGCAGATCCTGAGCCCGGGAGGCAGCAGTGGGGTCTGTAACGATCCGGTGTCATCGAGACCTGTACTGGGTTCCCAGTGCAGTCCTGGCCACGGGAGCCATCTGGGAACTGTCCAGTCCCGTTTCTGCTTTGGAGCTGAAGGAAAAGACCAGAACCCACCGTTCACTTTCTGGCTTGCACTGGGATTGCTGCAGCCTCACTTGAGGCAGACGGGGACAGCAGACGGGCTGTGTGGTGAGGTACAGAGTTGGGGCAGTGGGCGCTGTGACACTGCAGATCTGGGTGTGTGAGGGCAGTCCATGATCCCATGCAGAGGGATGCAGGGGCACCTGGACACACACACAGTTCTTAGGAACCATGTTCTCAACTGAAAACAGGGCCCATTCAAAATGATATCACCAATCTCCAGGTATCAAACCCAAAGCTCCAAACCCCTGACAGACTGACAGAACTCACCTCAAATACGCTCAGTCACTGCAACACACCATGTACCACTACACACAATCAGGAGATTGTGAAACAGAGTATATAATAGCACAGAAATAGTATAAAAAATATTGGAGCTGAAAAATAGAAGTTACTGAGAGAAGGAAAAAGTAATGAAAGAATTTTTAGTATTTCCAAGATGCTATCAAGCCAACCAACATGCGCAAGATAGGGATCCAAGAAAACCGAGGGGCAAAGAACCTGTTTGAAACAACTGATAGCTTTAAATTTTCTGTATTTAACGAAAGAACTGAATATATAAATTCAAGGCAATCAATGAATTCTAACCAGACACACTGAGACAGCCCTAAGGAGACACCAACCAAACCACTCAAAGTTGGACACAGCAGCTTGAGAACAAGCAGTGAAGAACAGTGCTAAGATTCTCAAGAAAACGACCCATCAGACCCAGTGGGCCCCTGCCCTGCATCCCTTCTCCTGGTGCTTTAAATAAACTGGGGGAAGGGGAACCCCACACATTAAAAGATTAAACCATAACCAAGTGGGATTCCTTCCTGCAAACATGCTACAACATAGGGAAAGTTGATTAGCATAGGAGTCCTAATTTATGTAATGAAAAGCCCACAAGATCATCTCCACTGACAAGAAAGCATTTGACAAATCAAGCAGCCCTGGGGGTAGGAGAGCGTCGTCTGAACATCAGGAAGGCTCTGTAAGAAAAGCCCACAGCAGACGTCATGATCATCAGTGACAAAGCTTTTCAAATCACAGTTGTATGTGTCACAAATACAATGAATATTAAACTTCTGGGAGTGACAGCAAGAACAGTAAGGCAAGAAAAGAAGTACGATTATCTCTTCCCCAGGGACATGACTCCTAAGGAATCCATAAAATTTTCATAAGAAACAAATTCATAAGGTTTCAAGATAAAAAATCAACATGCACATAAAATTCTTCTTTCCTCTGAACAGTTACCAGGGCTTGGCATTCTGCTGTAGCGGCTGTGACTCCTGCAATGGTCAGATGCTGACACATGCCTACTTTTTTTTTCCTTCAACAAGATCTCACATCTCAAGGCATCCTTTTCTGCAGCCACTGGAATCAGGCATGGGTGGTCTTGAGCAAAATTTCTCCCATGATGCATGTAGGTGGGAGGGAGGAGGCCGTCAGTGCCTCCAGGTGCACGGCAGGTGACACCTGTTCTTGGTTCTGTCGTCTCAGGTACATGAGCTCGGACTGTGGGCGCTGGCACTCTTCCTGGTTTCCCGTCTCTTCAACTGTTCCTTTTGATGCTGCTTTAAATGACTTCAAGTGACTGGGAGTGACTTCCTGGGCAAAAGGCTTCCACGCTTGGACTGGTCTCTTACCAAAGAATTTATACAATATTGATGGAAGAGAAATAAAATGCCAAATGTAGCAATCTATGTGGGACAAGTTAGATGAAGAAGCCACGATAATAAAACCTGTAAGAGTCTCAGCAGGGCTGCACTGGAGCAAACTCACACCCAACACCGACATGAACTGCACAGGCAGGCCTTTGCAGCACGTGGGTCACAGGTCGTGCGTACAGATCGCACACCAGTTTCATTGTTCTAACCTCGCACGCCTGGCTTGTTCTGGATGCATGTGCTTAAACCCCTAACACAGGAACCCGAGGCAGACCTGGTTCATGTGCAGACAGCACACAGAGGGGTGCACGTGCCCGGGGGCTGGCCCTCTAGACCCATCCTACAGAATCCCCCAGCCTTGAGCCTTTGCCGAGCCCTGTCCTCAGCCACCACGGAAGGGGCTAGTGGCCCCGCTTGGCCCTGCTGAGGAACAAGCACCAGACTGGTTGCTTCATGCCATGAGACTTGCAGTGACATGTCACAGAGGAAGCAAGTGGCACCCACAGCCACACAGTTCCGGCAGAGGCGGCCAGAAGCACCTATCTCCACAGACACAGCCAAAGCGCTCCACAGTGTTGGTCCCAGCAGGCTCAGCAGATGAGACATGGCAGGGAACCTTCTGCAACCAGCAGGCGCTGTCATGGGCACACGTGGACATTCTCCTCACACTGTCACCATGACACTGGAAGCCCTGGCTCGTGATCATAAAAAGGTATAATATGGGCACCAGCTCGAGTCCTTGTTCTACTGCTACTATGCGGGAAAGCAGAAGATGGCCCGACTGCCTGGACCTCTGCATCCACACGGGAGATCCAGTAGCAGTTGCTGGCTCCTGGCTCTGAACTGACGCAGTCCTGGCTATTTTGGCCATTTGGGAGAAAACCAGAGGTTGGGAACCTGTGTGGTCCTCTCCTTGCCCACCTCCCCATGTCTTCTAACTCTGTTTCAAATAAATATATTGTAAAGCTGATTATACAATTTATTTGGAAAGGCAGTGATGTGAGGCAGGCTAAGATACTCTTGAAAAGGAGAGGAGGACAGGGAACTCCTCCCATCCGTGCTGGGGGAGCAGTGAAGACACTGCTGGACTAAGAGCGAGCAGTGGAAAAGCCTGCTCCACCACGAGCCACGCATCCACATCTCCATGCAGCTGACGGTGCAAGAACGAGCGAGGGGGCGAGAACCCTCTGTCCTACACACGCCAGCGTTACAGTTCACAATCCTCAACGCTGAAGCCATGGGAAAGTCACACCAACTGCGTTAATGAGTTGGAAACAACTTCCTAAGCAAGCACAAAGTGTAATACATCACGTTGGTTTCAAAAGAGGAACTTCTCCCAAGAAACACTGCTAGAGGCCACGACCCTTAAGCCAGGGCGAGAGGAGCTACTGGCCGTAGGCTGAGTGACCAAAGGATGCACAGAAATGTCACCTGCTGGCCAAGGGGAAAATCACGTTTATGGGGCAAGT